AAGACGACCGTGCGGTGGATGCCGTCCGTGATTGGAGGCTCGGTGGGGCCCGGGGTGGTCGGCTGCGTCGACATCGTCGTGGCAGCTGGAGGCGACACGGCACGGGGTGCAACGAATAATGTCGGCGCTCGTCAGGAAAAGGCGAGACGAAAGCCACAGAGCATGAGGCCAGGCGAAAATCCAAGTCTATGCAGCAGGCCAAGCGCCAAAAAAAAAAACTACGTTCATGCAAAACCCGAGAACGTGATCGCTTCCATTCTTCCCATCTCTTTTTGCATTGGTAAGAGAGTCGCTGAAGTTGACTTTCCAATCTCTCTCGCTTTGTGAAAGGGGCATGGTTAGACACTCCGTCAAATGAGAACTGTATCACCTTCCTGATCGTTCTAAACAATTCTTTTAAAATAATGGGCTAGAAGAACTCACTGTTCCCCAACGATAATATTTCATTACTTCCTCCTCCTCCCGAGCGAAAACTCCTCTACCGCCCTTTGGTTGAGCAGAGTCACATTTTTGCTAACATTGCTAACACGTGACATTTTTTGCTAACCAACTCCGAACGTTCGCATCACCGAGTCAAACCTTCAGCGCCCTTGAAGGATCTTCCGCTCGTAATGGTATTATTTTTGCGAAAATGTCGCCATTCGTGCATGAGAATCTTCTCAACCGATTCCCAAAATGTCGAGCTGAAGAAGCAATGCCATCGACAATTTTGCTCGATCCAGGGAATATTCCCGAAGTTCATTCTTAATAGCCATCGGTTTCTTTTTTTTTTTTTTTTTAAGGGAACTTTGAATGCTAGACTTGTCAGAATGTGGTTCATCACTTCGCTTTGAATTAATGGATTTCGGCAACCTTCTTCAAATGACGCACTGCATCCTCTGCAATTTTTGCATCCCTGAATTCATTTGCATCGATTCATCTATTCAGATATCCGGTTTCACCTTGCGGACTTCAGCGCACGCCGTCGTGAACATTGACCACCGAGGGCGGAATATGTCCCTGTCGTACCGAAAAACTATTAGAAACTTGCCATCCACTGGGTAAGGGTGAGAAAGTACTTTGGTAGAGTTTTGTGCAAGGTAGGGCGCGATTAAGGTCTTTTTTCATGCAGACGAGTTTTGCAAGAACAGACATCTCCGATGATGCGGTGAAACCGGCGTAAAACGACTTGCATCCTCTACGTAAAACGACTTGCATCCTCTACGTAAAACGACTTGCATCCTCTGCGTTGCCAGACCCGCTGGTTCTGGAATCCTCTCGTGAGCAAGGGTCTCATTGCTTCCGTGAATGAAAAATGACAGGGCAAGCACCCGGCAGAGACGAAGGACAAAAAATCTACGGAAGGCCCCAAGCAACACGAAGGATCGAAGAGACAAAAAAAAATGAGACGGACTTGGGTCAGGGGTGGGCCTGTCTCCCGTGCACCCGACGCAGATGGCCAGGATCGGCTCCTCGGCGTCGGTGATCCGGATCTGCGCCGTCCCGTCCCCGTTCACCGTCACCTGCGTCGCGCACCCGTCGATGATGTTGCAGTACGATCCCCCCGGCATCCCTATCATCGGCGCAAGGAATTCTCATCATCGTCGATCCTCATCCCCGGCAATTCTCATCCTCCTCCCCGACCCTACCGGTCTGGAAGCTCCCCTCCATGGAGCCCGACTTCACCATCGCGAAGAATCCCTTGTCGCCCCGAGAGAAAGCCACCCGATCCCCTTCCAAGAAGAAATTCGCCATCTCCGTCCCCGCCACCGCATTCCTGAACTCCACCTGAAACGAAACCGTCGCATGAAAATCGCGACCTGACTCGACCGGACTCGACCGGCCCCCCAAACAATCCGTGTACCATATGGGCGATGGGCCCCCATCTGTGCTCGCACACCCACCCGTTCCCACAGGTCCCATCCGGGTTGATTATCACGTCCAAGGTGCTTCATGAAAAAAAGAAAAGACACATTTCTCAAATCTTCTCTTTCGCTCCCAATCGCGACCGACATCGACCGATCCCATCGCCCCCGTCGACAAAAAAAATATTCCCACTTTAAAAAACGTAATTCGAGAGCGATCCAATCGAACCGATCCCCCCCCCCCACCGCCCTCCTCACTTGTAGTTATCGTCGTGCGGGGGGCCCTCGCTCGAGTCCTCGAAGAAATAACTGCTCATGACCCGAGTGAAGCCGTACGGATGGGCGAGCATGAAGGACACGCCCAGTTTGTACTCGAACGGAGTCTTGTGGGTGATCACGTCACCTGAAAGGGAATCTCCATTATACACCTCTCCATACCTTAATTTTCGTTATGATTAATTTTCGTTATGATTAATTTTCGTTATGATTAATTTTCGTCATGATTAATTTTCGTTATGATTCTCCGGTGATAGCGAAAAGGGGTCATTCTGACCGGCTCCACCGTGGCCCCTCTGGTTGTCGTGGTTGTCGACGAACACGAAGGCCTTCTCGGGCGGGCACATCCCCCAGCCGAAGTCGACGATGTTCCCCAGCTGGCTGAAGTCCCAGATCCCCCAGGCGATCTTGGTGCAGTAGCGGAATTCCGTCACGCGACCTGGTGGGGAATTTTACTTATTCATTTATTTTTTGATTCTCGGTCAGGTGGGGGAAGAGTCGCGGAACGGTCTTCGTTCTGAGTGACGGGATCCTCTGATATTCAGTCAGGTCGCTCCCGATACTGCTGATTACTTCCGCCGATAGTCGATTCGAAATGTTCGCAGCGAGGAAAAACACCTTTGGAAAAAGTAAGAAGAGGCTCACCGAGTTCGAAGTACTGATCGACCGTGACGGCTCCGTCGTTTCTGTCGATCACTTCGTGATAGAAGAAAGCCGGATAGTCGAGGGCGCCTTGGATGGCCTCAAGGTCCTTTATGGAAAGGAGTCGAGAATGGTTTCGAAGGGCAAAAGGACCAAGGGCAAAAAATAAAAGAGAAGTTATTCCTCGCCTCGGGCCACATGTGCTTCGCAGCGTCGACCCGGAAGCCAGCGACTCCGATTTCCAGCAATCGATTCAGGAATTCGATCTGTTTTTCTCTCACGTAATCCGTTGCCCCGTAGAGGTCGGTCAGGCCCACCAGGTAGCAGTTCCGGACGTTGTTGGGATCCGAGTAGTCGTTGACGTTCCCTGAAAGAGAAACGGAATTTTACGCGGTCGAGGATAAAGGCAAGGCCTCGCCTCGCTCCGATGAAGTCACGACGAAGTCACGATGAAGTCACCGTCGCCCGAGGGGCACATATCGCGCGGGGTGAAGTCCTCGACGGTGAACGGGACGCCGGGGAAGTCGCGCTCGTCGGAGTCGAAGGACGAGCCGGCCGAGCCGATCCCGGACCGGCCGAGTCCGGCCATGTGATTCAGCACCGCGTCCACGTAGATCCGGACGCCGGCCGCGTTGCACCGTTGCACCATGTCCACGAATTCCTCCTCCGTCCCGCTCCTGGACGTCAGCTTGTAACTCACCGGTTGGTATCTCTCCCACCAGGGGCGCATCGCGTCCGTCGTCACCAGCACGTGCTCGTGCACTGGCGACACCTATAGATCGCAATTAGAAGCTCGTTCGTTCCCGTCTCGCGAACGCGACGTCACGGATTCGACCAGAGGGATCATTGCTCTCACCTGCACGCCGCAATAGCCAGCTGGGCCGAGGAACTGCTCGCATTCGTTGGCGATGCTAGTCCATTTCCATTCGAAGAGGTGGACGATCACCTGTTTCCCACCACAATTCGGGTCGAAGTATCCCTGGCTCCCCTCCGACAGCAGCAGGAACACCCCCGCCACGAACGCTTTCAACTCCATGCAGGCGGCAAAGACCGACGGGAAGAAGCGAATGAACGCGAAAGCACGACGGACTCACCTTCGCGACTCGCCGAGCTGCAGCGGAATGGACGCCGAGGGGGAGCCGGCTGCGGTTGGAGGGCGATCCCTCGGGAATCGGGGCAGGTGCGACTCTCAGACGTTTTGTTTTCGACATCCTGTTGTGGATGCGATAAGATCGGTCCGCCCGACTTTTCATTGTTTTTTTTTTTTTTCCCGTTCAAACTGCGCAACAAAAAGAGGAGATTCCTCCGAGAGTCTCACTTCGCGATCTCCAACTCCAGCTCCAACTCCACCTCCACCTCCAACTCCACCTGGTGACCCTGAAAATCGGCGGCGCTCGCATGCCCCAATGCTGCGTGCCGGAAAAAGTGGAATGGAAAGGACGCCGCGGCACGTGACTCTTATCGCAATTCTTGTGGGTCACGTGTTAGTCCACGTTTGCTCATCTTAAAAATAAATTAATAAAAAAAAAATAAATCGTGCATATCATGCTTTACAGACAGGAAATACGCGATAATACCCAATAAAATATTTTAAATTAAATCATAATACAACAAAGCACAGTCCCCCCAAGAAGGGAATCAAACGGGACGTCGAGACACAAATCCGACCGGATTCAGGATCAAAGGATTTCTGATCTGAATCGGAAGCACGCCGATGGAGAAAACTCCGTTTCGGGCCGAATTCGGGCCGAATTCGGGCCGAATTCGTCGACCCCCCTCGCTTCGCAGCGCCTCTTCCCGCCTTTTCGCTTTCCTCTCTGGAGGAAGGAGATCGGGCATTCTCATTTCGATGAAGAATGAAACCCAGGGACTTTAAACTCTATTTCTTCCCTGATTGCGAAAAATTACAGATATGTCTTACAGCGAGTGCGAATTTCAGTTATTTTTATACTTGGAAGCCACAGCTGCCGGCTTTCCGGAGGAGATAGCTCAACCAAATCCGAGATATGTTTTTTTTTTCCGCTGCTGGTGACTCACTGTTTCACCGTGGAAAAGGACATTTGGTGTTCGGCAGTTCCCTTTACCAGGGTTGCCGGATGTCGTGACCGCTTTTGCTTTCGCATCGATGCCAAAAAATATTATTTTCGTCTGCTTTTATTGTTTGATACGTATTCGTGCTCAGCTCATACGAAGGGTCGAGATTGAAATTTTATCGATAAAAGATTGATCAACGGTGACCGAAGAATGGAGCGGTATGTGAACGAACCCACGGTAAACATCACTGCTGATGGTTTCGTCAAACACCCATTTGAACTGGGACGGTCTGTCCGCAAACATCAGTGGCGAGAATGATCGGGAAGCCAATCATGGGTCTAATTGGCCGGTAATTCGTGGGTTCAGGTATTTTTGTGCAAGAAAGAGCTAGCCTCCACCGGATCCGGACGCCCAGGCCTCGGTTTTATAAGTCCCAATGTCTCCTCTCATTTGTAAGAAATAATTGCAGTCGTAATTTTAGGTCATTCGTGGAGGATCTGGAAACTGGCAGCCGCAGTGTACGTTGAGGGAGATGGAGAAGAAAAGGGTAAACCTTTCGATAATGGTTTTCCTAGTACTACATTTGTCCCAACTCCCCCAATTAATTTGGGGGAGTTGGATTTGTCCCAACTCCCCCCCCCCCCCTCATTAATTTCCTTTCCTCAATCCTAACGTCGCTGAGCTGAAGTGACACGGAGGAAAAGTTAGATGAAGGCTCTGAACGCCGTGCATTCGTGCTTTGGAATACCCTCGCGCAACATCGCGAGGGCGTGAAGGAGGTCGTGCCTTGGGTGCGTGCGTTGGACCTCCCCTGCCTCATCAAATTTCCGCCTATTCATTTTTTTTTACAGTTCCGTTTATTTCATCATGGGAAGGCAGGATAAAGGTTGTTTTGACACCATGCCGTTGAGGATTCACTATCGAGGAGGAAATTCGCTATCAAGAGGGTCATTCTTTTACCTCAATGACGTAATCAACAAATGCAAAGCATGAAAACCTCCATTAAGTACCCGACATTCGCCGTCGAGTCATATGCCATCCCCTTGGGGGGGGGGGGGGGGGGGGGGGGGGGGGGGGGGGGGGGGGGGGGGGGGGGGGGGGG